CTAGACCTTGTCCAAATCGACTGTAAACAAAATTTCATGTTGCAGGAGTATCGGGAAGTGGGTTTTCTGGAACCCCTGTTTTACAACAGATTGTCGTGAAGCTATATATATATATATATGTATATATGTATAGACGCTTTTGCAGTAAATTGTAGCCTACATTTAAGTGTCCGTAGATTCAAAAGTATAAAAGATACAGTCATTTCGAACCACAGGTTTTAAAGATAATTGTTTATACTTTAGTTTACATTATATCGAAAAATAATTTATCGTCATCATCATCACTTGATGACGTCATCAATTTAAGTGTTTTTAAGTCTTGATTTTTGACAAAATAACAACTTTTCAAATCGATTTTAAAGCATTAAGGAGTAATTTTATTCAAAATCTGAGGACATTTTCATCTTAGATAATTGTTCAAGCATTCTGAAAATCTACCGGAAAGTTTTCCTACCTTGCTCCTTCATAAAGATATTCGCTATTGAAGTTTGTGCTTTTTTGAAGAATAATTTTATAAAAACACAAAAGTTGTGAATTAGTATTCTCTGGTGTTGGGCCATCCCTTGGGTTGTGGAGCTCAATTTTGCTTCCTAAAGGTCTAAATTGTGTTATAGGCTAGTTTTAAAGTTGAAAATCGAAAAGTTGCACACGTGGGGACACGCCCAAATTCATTTAAAATAGCTAAAATCACTAAAAATTGTTATTTTCGCGATTTTTACCAACTTTGGAGTCCCGTTGTGATCCAAGTTCTTTTTGAAATCTTCTGAAACTTTTCATGCTTATCAAACTATATATTAAATAACACTATGCAAAAATTTATGGTGATTCAATATTTTATGCGCACGCAACGTCCGCTCAAAGTTTGCACGTGCGAAAGGTGAGAATTTTGCTCATTCGTGATTTCGAATATATTCTGCTTTCCCACGATATTAAAATGGCATTATATATGAATTTAATGCCAACTTGAATGAGTAAAAAGTGCTACATTCAGTCTGTTATTGACAGATATGCCTACCTAAACACAAGGAAACGTTTTCAAAGGTAAAATTTCGAAATCGTTGAAATTACCTCCTTATTAAGTTTCGACTGTGTAAATTATCCTGACATTATAATCAAAAAGAGATGATATTTGACCAAAACCCATAATCATGGGTAGAGTGAACCGCTGCCAGTGTCTCTCTTTTCCAAACAAAAGAAAATGATATTAATTTGAGGAACCGTCCGCAAATGCAAATTGATACCGAGAATGAAATCGGTCGCTCGCTTTTCCCATTCATTCACGGCTTACGTATTGTAATAAAGCTTATTGAATGGGAAAAGCGAGCGACCGATTTCATTCTCGGTATCAATTTGCATTTGCGGACGGTTCCTCAAATTAATATCATTTTCTTTTGTTTGGAAAAGAGAGACACTGGCAGCGGTTCACTCTACCCATGATTATGGGTTTTGGTCAAATAAATTATGCAATATCACAACATTACAATCAACAAAATAAATTTAATCGCAGAATATCAAACACAAATAATCGTAAATTAAACACAAAAAACAAATTAAACAAGCAATAAATGAATATACAAATGCGCATCCACTGACAACTTACTCCTTTATAAAATTAATTTTTGACAATAATTTTTTAGACGGTAATTTAATTGTTAATGGTTACTAATTTATAAATCACAAATAATAAATCAATACAAATTAATTACAAATACTAAAGTAATTAATAGATATTAGGTAACTTTATAACTGAAAAACGATATATGTCGATACAAATTACGAAATAATATTACTATTAGGTGATTGAAACATTTCAATAAATTCATCATAAATATCACTACCATATTTACTCCAAATATTTAATCTTGATTTATAAAACTTGACAAACTTGTTGCGCAATGCAGCTAACTTAAATCGTTACGCAACCAATTTACCTAAAAGTTCGGTAACACAATTTTTGAAACCCTTAAGTGTCGAATTAATTTTGGCTAATCGTACTAATTGAGAAATAAATATTCCGTGAGACAAATTATTTGGAACGTTTCCATCTAATAAAAGGATAAGATATAACTTTAAAATTATAATCTTTTCTTTTATCATATAATGTCACTCTAAACTTCCCTTGATAAATACTAATGTTTAAGTCTACTTCTAGAATTAGATAGCAACATTTGTTTCTTGTAGTGAGGTAGCTCTAGTAGGGACATTTAATGTCCGAACTGCTAGAGAAGGTTACAAGCGCCTTGAACTCGTGACTCAGTTTCTGGAGAGTGGCATGGAGATCCTTGGAATCCAAGAACATAGGATTGTCCACCAGGAACCGATCAAGATCGAAAAGTTCAAGGAGGGGGTTAGCTTGGTAACTATTTCAGCATGGAGGAATGGAGCAGGAGCAGCCACTGGTGGAGTGGGCTTTCTGCTGACTAGAAGAGCATACAGCGCAATCAGCCTCATTAAACCCTATGGCTCAAGGGTGCTGACTATCTCTTTCAACGGAAATCCCAGACTCACAACTATAACTGCCTATAGTCCTACCGAGGCAGCACTAGTTGAAGAAGCGGAGGATTTCCACCCTTAGACAGGCTATGAATGATGTGCCAGCGCACCACCTGCTGAATCGCTGATCACAGAGGGAGATATGAACGCCCGGCTTGGAAAGGAGAGTGAAGAAGATTCCCGTTGGTACTTTCATACTCGTACCAATCGGAATTGAGAGCTACTGAGAGACACTGCCCTGGAGTGTGATATGGAAATTACCAATATCCGCTTCAGAAAGAAGGTCAACAAGAGGTGGACCTTCTTATCCGATGGGACACTTAACAAAGGTCAGATTGACTATATCCTCATACGGCGGAAGTGGAAAAACTCATTAAAGAACACTGAAGTTTACAACACTTTTCAGTCGTTGGGATCTGATCACAGAGTTGTAGTGTGTAAGATCAAAGTTAGCTTTAGGAAAGGACACAGGCCTCCGAAAAAAGTTAACTATGATTATAGTGCCCTGAAGTCGGATGGTGAGCTTCAAAAAAAGTATGCAATTGAAGTTCGGAATAGATTCTCTGGCCTGGTAGAGGAGGATGATGGGGCCACTGAAAGCTACGGGAAGCTTATGGTTGCTATTGAGTATTGAGGCGGCAAACAAGAGCCTTCTGCCAAAGAAGACTCGACAAAAGCAGATTGACCCCTCAAGTGACCCAAGAGTGGACAGTGCAAGGAGGGGACTGTTCTTGGCCAAGGACCAATACCATCAGGAGCCTTGTGAGGAGAAGAGAGAGGAAGTCGCCACTAAAAAGGATTTGTTAAAGGCCTGCTACAAAGAGGTAGAGGAGGAGATCCTGAAAGGAAAGATCAGGAAAGTTGAGGATACTGCTGATCGTTGTAAGAACAAGGAAAGCTGGAAGCTTGTCAACGATATTTCAGGAAGGACAAATCCCAGCTGTGGACTCGTGAAAGGGGGCAGCTCAACAGAACGTCTTGAGAACTGGAGGAAGCACTAGTGTAAAATAAGGTAGGCAACCAGACCAGTCCTCCCGAGGCGTACCGATGGTAAACAATGCCTGCTCACAAGTCTCTCACTACACACTATACTCTCAGTCGTTGTAGCGACTGACAACTGCAATAACTCACAATAACTAAGTATTGAACTCTACGTTAATACGACAATCACGATAACTTGTATTGCCAATTACTCTGATATGACTACTACATACATGCAACTAAGTGCGGTACTGTGAAACAAACGGTTCAAATGCTACAATTCGGTCCTAAGCTAGAGTTGAACAAAGGAAACAGTTGAATCGAGTAATAACGTTCGAATGATGAATATAAAGATATTATCAACAATCACAACTTAAACTGTGGCAAGACGGGCCACGTTTGGCGTTCTAGATCAGCGGTTAACACTTTGATTAAACACGTCACCTAAAGAGCTTTTCCAGAACTGACTCCAACGTGTCCAGAACTGCGTTAACGACCCGCGCCACGTGATACCACGTGGTCACCCACGTGGTACCGCGCGGCTCGGCCCAGCCATAAAACTATAACAAAACCTACACGCCCGACTATCACGTGCCCTACTTTACACAAATCTCTAAACCTAACTACTCTAAATCTACACTAATCCTAACGGTTTTTCTTCACTTAACTGCAATATCCTAACTAAAACATGACTACTAAAAACTGCTTAAAGATCGCTGCAACCAGCCCACACATTACACTATATCCCCCGGGAAGATTTAATCGATTTCGTCAATATCTCCAGGAGGTATTGACAAATTCGACTAAATCCCCCCCTTCCTCCTAAATCCTAAATAAATCCTAAAATTCCCTCTAAAACAACACCCTAAATAATATCCACAATAAATAAACAAATTACACGTACCCTAACGTGTCCAACTACAAGTATAACAATACTTAAATAAATTAAAATAAATAAATTATGTAAAAAATATCAACATCAATCCCGTGATACAACTACCCATAAAAAAATTTCACGTGTTACAAATTTAAAAATCTATATAAAAATACGTGTTACAACACGTACCAATTCTGAATATTAAAAACTTTACGTGAAACAACTCACGTCTTACAAACAAACAAATTTATAAAACTTCGTGACAACCTTCACGTAATAAAATTCAAATATTTAAAACAAATTTATAAATACAACTTGCTACCCTACTAATTGTCCTTCTCCTAATTGTCCTTCCTACTCTTCTTACTCCTTCTGCCCTGCTGTTCTTTTGAAGTTGAAGTCCACCATCCTCCGTCTCTCCGTCCCCATACCCGTTGTTGCACACCCTCCACAACCATACTCATAACCAAGGTACCGTGCATCTAGTCACGAACCTAACTTATATAACTATTTCCGTACACCTAGTTACGAACATACTTACCCAATTTTTTCCGTACACCTAGTTACGAACATACTTACATAATTATATCCGTACTCCTAGTTACGAACATACTTACATAATTATTTTCCGTACACCTAGTTACGAACATACTTACACAATTTTTTCCGTACTCCTAGTTACGAACATACTTACATAATTTTTTCCGTACTCCTAGTTACGAACATACTTACATAATTATATCCGTACTCCTAGTTACGAACATACTTACATAATCATTTTCCGTACACCTAGTTACGAACATACTTACACAATTTTTTCCGTACTCCTAGTTACGAACATACTTACATAATTATATCCGTACTCCTAGTTACGAACATACTTACATAATCATTTTCCGTACACCTAGTTACGAACATAACCTACACTACTCCATTCATTACTCCTAGGTACGAATGTCCTACCTAAAGACTGCAAACCGATTGTGGAGGGTACACAACCTCGTCAGCCCCAGCATTCCTGCTACCAACATCTCTGGCGGGATCCTCTCTGCCTCCTCCGCCGTCTCTCTCAGCACTCTGATCTCTTGGACGTACCATCCCAGGAACTTCTTATTGCCTCTCATGTCCGACTTGTAGTGACCATGGCCTCTTCCTGGTGGCATCTCGCCCTCACTCACCAATCTTTCACACTCTTCTTTTATCTTCTCCACTAGGTACGCTCTCTGACCTCCTATCTGAATCTCGATGAATTTCATTATAGCAATAACGTCCTCCCGCGTTCTCGCTTCCCTCATCTTCTTCTCCATCCATCCCTTCGAAACAGTCATCAGGTCTCTCCCGTGTTGCACCACCTCTTTGTCCTCGAACACGTCTCTCCTGATGCTTTCGTTAGCAGCCTTCTCCGTCTTAGACAGCTTGTCATCGTATTTGTCGAGACAAAACTTCTCCACCTGTCTGCTGCTGTAATAGTGGGTAGGTGGAGGGGGAGGAGGCCGTTCCTGATGGTACTGGTGGGTCCTTCTCCGCTGTGGTGACTGCTGCTCTCTGGTCTCCCTCACTATTACTCTTCTCTTCTCTCCTCTCTGTTGTTCCCCTGCCACTGGTTCCTGTTTCTCTTCTTCTTTAGTTTTTTCTCTCACAGGACTCAGACTCACCTCTTCTTGGATCTCCACCAACATCTCCGTCTCCTCAGGGGCCTCTACCACCATCGGTTCCGCTTCATAAGCTCTCTTCGTTATCTTCAGAATTTCTCTTACTTCTTTCTCATTTTCTTTAATTAGCTGTTCCAGCTCCAGCCGCTTTGTCTCCAACTCCCTCTCCTTCAGATCCTCCTGCTCTTTCTTCTCTCTTTCCAGCTCCTCTAATCTCTTCCGTCTTTCCTCTGTCTTTTCCAGCTTCTCCAGCTCCTCTCTAGAATTCTTCTGTAGCTTCTCCAGCTCTTCCACTTCTTTCTTTTGCTTCCTTAGCTTTTCCTCCTTGGTCTCTACTCCATTACCACTCCTCACCATCTCTGAATATTGCAAGGTTCCGGAACTTTCCCCCCCTCCTAGATTTCTCTTAACTCCCTGTCTAATTCTCATCTCCTCACTCTCGTTAACCATAGCCTCATCAAACTCCCCGCTCCAGGTCCATTCTCTCGGGTCTTCATCCTTCCTCCATTCTTTTTCTCCCTCCACTTCTTCTCTAGATTTCACCCTCCCCTTGTTCTTCTCTTTCACCTTCTCTATCTTTGCCTCAAATCTCAATCTTTTCTTCTGGGCCTTTTCCTCAATCTGGCACCGTCTGCAGAGCTCCTCCTCCAGCAGCTGCCCTTCCTCATCCTTTGTTCTCTTGCAGATGTAACATCTGTATGACATTCTGAATCGTAAAAGTATTAAAGAAGAGTTACAGATAAAGCTGTAATCAACAAAAAAATTACATGACTTAGTAGTACGCGAAATGCCACAGCGTACTAAACTTAACATCTCCCGGGTAAGACACGGCAAAGGAATAACACTCTCATCACGTCCTACCCAAAAAGGCATCAGGAGTGAATCTCTACTGGATAAAAAATGCTACGTCATGTAATCTCTACTCAAAATAATAAAATGAAGTCACCTCAAGTTGACATAAAATACATATGTGAAGTAAAAAAAAACCATCTAGACTAAACCTTATTGGCACAAGAATATTAAAAGTCAACTAAAGGCAAATCTAGGCATCAGGAGCGATGCTCTACCGGATTTAAAGGTGACTCACACTCTACACTCTACTCTACTCCACGATTCAACAACTAACTCCACCTCTCGCAAACTCTCCACTCTCCAGGGTAGCAAGCCCTCCTAAAAAAACACATACATCACTCAACCATATCAACCGACATTAATGACACCAGGCATACCCTAAGCACGGCGGGAGATAAGAAATGCAACGATGACTACCTTCCACAGGTTCCAGGTAGTCTGCAAAACATGACAACAATCGTCGTATCTGCCCGAGCAACAGGTAGTTAACTGGCATCCCGTGACCAGCAATTCTCTAAAACCCAAGTTTTCTCTTTACCCTCTTCAATACCACATTAATTCTTGACACCGGTCTATAGTAATCCGGCCTCTTTAACTGAGCTCTATTTCTTAGAGAACGTCCTCCACTGGCTACAGGCGTACTCTGTTCATCAGGTGAGTAAGCTAGTGTATTGTTGCTCTCCCCCAGCTCGACAGGACTTAAACTATCCTCTATCTCGGATGTAGGTTCCTCAACCCCTCTGCTCCACCCGGGTGTGTAGAAAGATCCAAAACTTGATCCCGTCTCCTGGATCGGTGATGAATTATGAACCGGAGTGTTAACCCTAGCTGGTGTCTGAGGGTCATGTTGGATTGAAATTTCCTGATTTTCCGTTCTGAAAGGAAGTGTGTACTCAGGTGACAGAGGTTCGTCAGGAATTTCAATTCTCTGATTAGATACAGTGCTCTCTCGAATCACAGGATCCCTTCTCTCTACTTGCTCAGGCATCCACAACTCCTCGTCACTACTGCTATCACTATCATCACTATCACTTTTCACCGTATCTCTCCTCTTAGGCTCCGCAGTGTTGCTACTGCCATCACGAATCACTACTCTTTTCTCCGAGAATCTGTTCATCTCGTAGTGCTTCATTTTGCAAATGTTCGTGACCCTCTCCAACCCAGGTCCGTACTCCACCACATACAAGTGATCATTTAAAACCTTCTTCACTCTACATGGACCCCTAAATCGCGGAGCAAACTTGTGTTTAGGACATTGCACTAACACGAAACAAAAGTCGTTCTCCTTAAAGTAAGGACCATGCAGGTTTCGATCATGTTGCCTCTGTGCATACATGAAATCTACATTCGCACTCTCTCTCACTCTCCTGATGATTCTCTTCATTTCTCTGTGAAGCTCGTACGCCTCCCTGGCAGCGGCGTTCCTCGTATCTGGCTGATGCTGTTCTCTATCATCTAACATCAGATTCAACGGCAAGTTGACCTCTCTGCCAAATATCATCTTGTGAGCAGAATACCCAGTTCTCCGGTTCTTCAAACAGTTCAAGGCAAATGTACTCTTGTCCAGGTACATGTCCCAACAGTGCTCCTTTCCCCTAGGAATGCATGCTCGCAATGCTCGATTAGTTCTCTTGTTGTTGCTCTCAGCACGGGCCGTGCTAGACGCTTTATAGGATGTCCCGTGAGTTTTCTTACACTCGAAAAACTCCCAAACTTCCTTGAAGAATTCAGCTCTGAATCCGGGGTGATTATCCACAATCAATTCCCGACACATTCCGAACTTTAATACCCAGTTCTTCATTATTGCTGCTATATTCTCCTTAGCAGTCTGACTCTTGACTGGAACGGCTACCAGATAGTTCGACCAGGCATCAGAGATAGTAAGGATGTATCGATATCCTCGGGGTGTTCTCTGATTTACTGTCGGTACTATGTGATCAATCACAATAGCGTCATTGAAATGATGGAAGAATAAATGTTTGAGCGGTGCTTTCAGATAAGCTTTCGGCTGCTTCATCTCTCCGCATCTTATGCACGCTTTGATGTACATTTTGAAGTCCTGCTCCATCTTCGGCCAGTAGAAGTACTCCCTGCATTTCTCCACACAGGTGCTGATTCCCGGATGACAGTTGGTGATGTTGTCGTGAAACAGTCTCATGATCTCCTCTTCATAGCTGTCTGGTATCACGATTAACTCTCTCGAATCTTTCTCTTTTCTTGAAACCCACTTTCTCTCAAGAGTCCGCTTTCATCCACTTTCATCAAGCTAAATTGGGTCCAATAGGTGATCAATTTGTCTGGCACACGGTTCACCTGGATTGTTCCCCGGGCGCCGTCTTTAACCCACTGTTTCACAATTCTCAATATTGGATCCAAGTTCTGCTCCGTCTTGATCCTCTCCAAGTCTGGTAAGCATTGTTTGTCTGTTTCTGTATCTGGTACTGCAAAGGTAACCTGTTTACAATTACCCTGCTTCTTCTGAAGTCGTGGCATCACATTGATGCTGCAAATACATACAGGAACATCCTTCTCCTCGAGCTTTACCATCCTCACATGTCCATCATGGTTGTCCTCGAATAGGAGTTGTAGATCACTTTTCTCCGTTTGATCCCTCTTAGACACCTTGTTTTCATCATGCTCATCAATTATCATCTCATCTTTACTCTGCTCTCTCCATCCCTCATTCCTCCAGCCATTTATCCCCTCACTGATTACTATCTCGCTCCCACTACTACACACTCTGCTGTTCTCTCCCATACCGCACATGACGTTATCAGCGTCACTCACCACACCAGGACTCTTCTCAGAGGATTCACTAACGTCAGAAGCGTTGTGATCACGTGTAACATTACTAGAGGATTCACTAACGTCAGAAGCGTTGTGATCACGTGTAACATTACTAGAGGATTCACTAACGTCAGAAGCGTTGTGATCACGTGTAACATTACTAGAGGATTCACTAACGTCAGAAGCGTTGTGATCACGTGTAACATTACTAGAGGATTCACTAACGTCAGAAGCGTTGTGATCACGTGTAACATTACTAGAGGATTCACTAACGTCAGAAGCGTTGTGATCACGTGTAACATTACTAGAGGATTCACTAACGTCAGAAGCGTTGTGATCACGTGTAACATTACTAGAGGATTCACTAACGTCAGAAGCGTTGTGATCACGTGTAACATTACTAGAGGATTCACTAACGTCAGAAGCGTTGTGATCACGTGTAACATTACTAGAGGATTCACTAACGTCAGAAGCGTTGTGATCACGTGTAACATTACTAGAGGATTCACTAACGGCTGAAGCGTTGTGATCACGTGTAACATTACTGAAGGATTCACTAACGGCTGAAGCGTTGTGATCACGTATAACATTACTGAAGGATTCACTAACGGCTGAAGCGTTGTGATCACGTGTAACATTACTGAAGGATTCACTAACGGCTGAAGCGTTGTGATCACGTGTAACATTACTGAAGGATTCACTAACGGCTGAAGCGTTGTGATCACGTGTAACATTACTGAAGGATTCACTAACGGATGAAGCGTTGTGATCACGTGTAACATTACTGAAGGATTCACTAACGGATGAAGCGTTATAATCACATTCTACGTTACTAATACTATCTAACTCACTAATGGCTGAAGCGTTGTGACTCAGAATGGTATTGACACCCGCAGACCTGGTAAACTCCTCTCCTCCCGATCTCTCATCTAGAATGACCTCTGTCTGGCACGATGCTTCCGCAAAACTCCTTCTGAATGGAACTCTGCTTCGTCTGTCCTCCTCAGCATTAGACTTTGTCGCCTTTATCATGTTCAGCCCGTGACTCTCCAACAACTCATTCTGAGTCCATCTTTCACCACAGAACTTTTCTGCCTGACCCCTGTTCTCCTGAGCTTGTCTATCAATCGCAGTCCCTCTAACACCGATATCTTGACCTCTGATCCTCTGCACGCCGTGTATAAATTTCTTACCGCCTACAGGTTTCAATAGTGCGACGATCTTGTTTTTGCGGATCGTTATTTGCTCATCAGTAGAGTTAACACACTTTATCGGGACCAATCTTTTATCAGAGTGCACAACTGCATGAGCGAATGAAATGCCCGTGTCCCCAATACCTTGCTTGTACTGTGGCTTAATCACACCTTTAAAATTCACTCCTTTCGCCTGTAACTTTCCCCTGATGTACTGCACCGTGTTAGGAGGAATAATTGTGACCTTGCTACATCTAACTTTTATCTGCTGCTTGACATTCTCCGGCTTCTCCGTGAATGGTACACTATCTCCATTAGTCAGCACCAGTCTGCACTTGCTGTAGTCCAGAGTTACCCTATTTGACCTCAAGAAATCATCTCCAATCAGGAATTCTGTGTCTAACAGATCAGTTACCACGAAGGTGTGTACAAATCTATTGCCAGCAACTACCACCTGTAGTTCTAACTCTCCCCTGATTTGTATCTTGTCTTGAGAAAATGACTTCAATGTCATGTCACATGGTCGGATCCCGCTCTCTAGTCTCAGTCCTCTCACAAAACCCGTGGACACAATACTCACAGCCGACCCGCTGTCAACAAAAAGGTAGGCTGCCACTCCTCTGCAACTCCCAGCCACCAAGATGTGTTTCCAGTTCACCGCATTCACCTCCTTCTGCTTCCCAGATGATTTTAATTGCGACTGATGGGAAATGAATTTTGTCCAGTCGCACGCCCGTTTAAATGGTCTCTCTGCATTCCATGCTGTTCATTCACTGTGGGTCTGTACTGCCCTCCTCGTTCTCCAGATTGCCCTCTGTTGACGTTACAGAATCTCTGAATGTGTCCCTCACCGTGACAATTATAACAAATCAA